GTTTTTTTTTAAAGTAGTAGTATGAGTACCAAACTACAAAAAGCAGTGTTCTTATGTATCTTTGCAGGGATCTTTGATCTTGATGTTTTCAATCTTGTGTTTCAGAATAGCACAGTAGTACAGAATTATATTTCATTGAATTATTTTGTTTCTGTTTTATTTCATGGCAAACTTTTAACCATGATCACATCTTAGCAAGTATTTTACTTTTTTTTTTTTAATGAATCTAGGTTTTAAAGGTTTTGTTTTATTCTGAGAGAGAGCAAGTGTGCACCCGTGCATGTTCCTACATACGTGCAGGGAGGGAGAGAATCCCAAGTGGACTCAACCCCGTGCTGAGTGTGGAGCCTGATCCCACGACCCTGAGATCATGACCTGATCCAAAATCAAGAGTCGGTCACTAAACCAAATGAGCCACCCAGGTGCCCCAAATCTAGTTCATTTTAAATAGATGGTTCTCTGAGCTCAACTACCTGAAAACTCCATTTGAGATTTTTCAGTATAGTAATAGTGTTCACCTGGAACAGTTGATGTCTTAAGTATTGACAGTCAAAAACTTCTTCAAGTTGTCAAGAATTTCAGCGGCCCCTTGAAAATATCCGAACGGTACTTAGAGAATAATTTAGAAAAGTTATAACAGCTGACATAACTGAGTACTTAACTATATGCAAAGAACTTTACCCTTTATATGCCCCCTACTCTGAGGTATGCTATTATTCCCATTTGATCCATGGTGAGGATGCTCAAAAAAATAACTTATTTGAGATCATTGTGCTAGAAGTGGCAGAGTTGGGCTTCCAACCCTGGACTGCTTGTCTCCAGAGCCACCCTCTCAACCACCACACCCTCTGACTCCCAGGATTTGTCTCTGATTGAAATCTCATAACTTTTCATTATATGGTTGGAAAGGATTTGAATAAACTGTTAATGGTAAAGATGGTGTACATGCATTTTAGAGATTTTTGTGGACATTGAAGAATTTTTAAATATAACTCTTAGACCAGGCAGCTTGAGTGGTACCTATTGTCACCCCATTGTGCATCTGACGAAATGTAGAAAGTCTGTTTTTATCTGGGATTTCGAAGTATGTGTTCAGTTTACTTGCCCAGTGTGGATTATTCTCACTGCTTACCAAGTGCGAATTATTCCTTGTCTCAAAGGATGTCTGCTGAAGCTCCATGGGACTTCGTGGGGGAAAAAGTATTGTACACGCACCACAAATATTACTTTTATTTTACATCTTTGCCTCTTTGAAGCTGCTGTGATAGCAGTCTTTTCAGCATTTAGTTTAGATAATGCTTTGTGGATTATTCACTGACATGGCTATGTTATCTTGCTGTTTGTGGAGATTGGTTTGAAATGTTTCATCCATACCCTCTCAGTTTGCTTCTCTTATGTTGAATGAAGAAGCATGCATCTGAGATGGTAGATCACATTAAGGCTACAGACTGTGACCCTGGACCAGAAAGGAGACAACTGCTTATTTAGGGCTTCGGCTCATGTGTTTAATCTCAATTAATGTGGTACCCAATCAGCCAAGATAGGTGGTATCATCAGACAGGCTCACCAGCTTGGTATGTTGACTTGCATTCTAACACAACAGAAATGTCTTTTTTTTTTTTTTTTTTTTTGAAAAACCAAACCTCAGTCATCTTTGACCATTTGGCAGCATAGCAGCCACCTGGTATCCTCGCCACTGAGATGTCATTCTTCCTTCCAGATCCTTCCTGGGCATCAGTAAATAGGGGGACTTTTATATGTGACGAGTGCTGCAGTGTCCATCGGAGCCTAGGGCGCCACATCTCTCAAGTAAGGCATCTTAAACACACACCGTGGCCTCCCACGTTGCTGCAGGTAAAGAGTAAGAATTCTCATGGTTTGTAACTTGAGCTTTTAGGATTCATAGTTTTAGCAACTAAAATTTCTTGTACTATACTTAAATCTTACAAAAATGTTTGAATCGTACCTGAACAGAGGGTGCCGTGCCTATTAGTGCTGTATGTAAGAACTGAATTCCTCATTTAAGATTTTTTTCCCCTCCTAACAAATAAATCTTGTCCCAAAAGTTCAATTATAGATAGAAAATAATTCCTAAAATTTCTTGGTAACGTTTCACTGCTGACTTTCTGGACTGAAATTGTTTTTAAACAGTCTGTCTTTTCCATATACCACAATAAATGTTTCTGAAAGCTGCAGTCTCAGGAAATTTTCCTTACGTTTCCTGCTTTGATGGAAGCATGGACTGAGATTCCTCCTCAAAAATCTCAGAGACATCTGATTTAAGTTTTCTTGAAATTCTTGTTACCAATTAGACACCAAATTGGGTTGACATGTTTCAATTGAGTGCCCAACACCCTGCTGAGCGTCAAGTGAGCTCTTTGTTTTATTTGGGGTTGAATGTCATGTCACCTGTACTTCTATTTTGGGGTGCACATTCTTCAAGTTCTATTTGGAAGTCAGAATTAAGCATGTGTTTCGCCTTCTTTTGTCTTGAGTACATATTTTACTAGATCTGTGGCAGCTGTTCAACATGTCCCTTAAACTTGCTTATATAAACCAGCGAGCCAAAACAAGTGGGTTTGGGTCTCTGATATGACAGTGTCTCCACCAATGCAAAACAAACAGATGGGGCTGTGTCAGGAGTCATGCTTTGAAATGAAATTGGGAAGTATGGTTTATTAATAACTTTTGCTCAGAGGTTTCTAACAGCTCCTTCACATGTGAAAGTGGGTGTTTACTGCTTTCAGGTCTCTGTTTACAGATTTCATTATAGGGCCTGAAGAAAGTCCAGAGATGAGTAGTTTAAAATGCCAGGCTTGACCCTAAAAGAACAATTCCGAAAGTATGGCACATGAACCACTCAAGACAGATGTAGGTAATACTCAAATATTTATTTTAATGGTTACATGATTTTAATGTTTATAGGAAAACTTAAACTAGCACATCAGGCTGTAATTGCTAGTAAAAGTTTTTAAAAAGCAAGTGGATTTAAAGGAAAATCTTAGGCAGAAAGTCTAGACAGTACATGGGTTGTTAAGAATCTTGAAAATAGTATTTGAATGATCAGGCTTGGGAAACACTGCCCCAAAGTGTCAAAGTGCTCTTCCTTCATGATCTGTAAGAACAGTTTAATCAAACTCTTTTAGGTACTTAGCCATCCTCTGGTCAGACCTGAATCCTGCATATACGGTTCATCTTTCTCATTCTAGAATCAGAAAGCAATGATTTGTAGGACATCCCCATCATGCTGATATTTGCAGTAGGGCTTGGTTTTCCCAGTTCAGTCACTACAGTTTCCAGTGAATATTTGTGGAAAGAAATTAAAATATGATTTTATACTGCTTGGTTTTAGATGGTTGAAACCTTGTATAATAATGGTGCTAATTCTATATGGGAGCATTCTTTGCTGGACCCTGCCTCTATTATGAGCGGAAGACGTAAAGCTAATCCACAGGATAAAGTACAGTGAGTGGAATGTTTATAAATACTTTTATTTCTTCATAACCCATGGGGCCCACTAAAAGGAGTGCAGCTACTTTGGACCAGCCTCCAAAGGGGTGGCACAGGAGATGGTTACACTCCAGTTGTGCATTGAGCTCTTCGCTATTAGATATGCAGAACAAGGCCGGGCACAGAACCATCTCTTTTGCATGGTTGCACAGCACGAGTCAGTGGCTTCTCCAGTTTGAGACTAAAGCTTGGAGGCTGTTAGTGTAATCAGATTTAAGCTTAGGTGCTCAGACAAGAGGCAGTCAGACCAGAAATCTCAGCTCTGGGCTCCAGTCTGCCTGATGCCTCACCTGTAGGATGGGATGTAATGCTGCTTTCTCACAAGGCTGCTGGGTCAATTAACAAAATTACAAAGAAAAGAGAGAGGCTCTGAAAAGCAAGTACTCTGCAATCCTGGCCATTAGAATGACTAATTGACATTTTGAGACTTCAGGTCTTAAACTCCTGCTGGAACTTATTCACTATTGTTCATTTTCTTTTCAAGTAGGGGATACGGGTCACTTCCTCTTCTTTTTACAGCCTAAAGAATGGGGAATGTTACATCTGAACTGCAAGTAAACTGTTTTGTTTTCTTTTCATTTTTTTTCCTCAAACCAGTCCTAATAAAGCGGAATTCATCAGAGCCAAGTATCAGATGTTAGCGTTTGTCCATCGCTTGCCTTGCAGGGATGATGACAGCGTGACTGCCAAAGACCTTAGCAAGGTGGGTGACACTTTCAAAATCCTAAAACTGCTGGATGAAACAGTATATTGTTTTGTTTGAAAAAAACTTGAGGAAGAAAAAAAAAAACTTTCTGTACCTAAATAATTAATAACAGCCTTTTTTGCAATTGGCTTCATCTTTAATTTTAGTTCAAATGGCAGCCATTCATGTTAGTGGAGGTAAAGGGCAAAGAGGAAAAATAAGTATGTATCTAGAAAGTGATTTTGTTCTTCAGATAATGGTTTTAAAATTATATTTCTGTAAGTTTTTTGTTTAACTTTGAAATAGGAACCATCCTTGAGTTTGTTTCTAGAAGGGACTAGGGAGTTTGAAGGACTTCTTTAGGTTTCTGGGCTGCATACTGAGTAGGATCTTCAGGAAGCAGGATGACTCAAAGCTGTAGTGCTTGGGATTCTTTATTATACTTGTAAAATGAGTAGGTGGTTTTCTTTATGTGGGCCTTTGCATGTTTTTGAGAGATGCCATGAAAAATATGCATCTTTATTTTTATTTTTTTTAAAGATTTTATTTATTTGAGAGAGAGAATGAGAGAGAGAGAGAGCGCACATGAGAGGGGGGAGGGTCAGAGGGAGAAGCAGACTCCCTGCTGAGCAGGGAGCCGGATGCGGGACTCGATCCTGGGACTCCAGGATCATGACCTGAGCTGAAGGCAGTCGCTTAACCAACTGAGCCACCCAGGCGCCCTATTTTATTTTATTTTTTATTTTTTGCTTTAAAATATTTTATTGGAATCCTTTTGATAAAAACAAGTATTTATGTTAAAGAAGTCTAATTGATCTAAAAATACTTAAGCATCTCAAAATTTCTGGGCAGTTTCTTTCCTCCAGTAAGTTGACAGCTGCTCACACAGGTTAATGCAGGAAAGCTAGATGGAAGCTCCTCTGCCCAACACCAGAGAGGAGATATCTTCTGCGTTAACAAAACCCATAGTAGCCAGGGAGAAAGGACGCAGCTCTTCACTTCTCATCACAGCCTATAGGTTCAAGTGGCAGGAGCCATTACCTAGGCATCACAGATATCTCTCCACAGCATCTCTCTCAGAGGGCGAATTCCAAACTTCAGCCCTTCAGCTACCAGATCGGTGCCTAATCTGAAAGGGCACCACCCTAGCTAGGCTTCCAGAATAATCATGCGTTATCCAACAGTAACACACCCGTGGGCTCTTAAGACACCCTCGGGCCGCTGTGGACCAGCCTGCGAGGACCAGGGGCCTACACGCAGGAAGCCGTGCAAAGACAGCACAGGATGCCGTGGCCTCCCCTGGTGTAGGGGAGGGAGCCGCAGGAGCCCCCATGGGCACCGCAGCATTCCCACAGCCTGAGGCAACCAGACCTGCGCACAAAGAGCTGCATCTTTATTTTCAAAGCACTGCTCCTTAGTAAATGTTCACACACAGCATGGGCACTCACAATCAGAATTTTAAACTTTACACACAATATATGTAACTGTTATTTTTGCTAATTAATAAGGCTTGGCATGGGTTTTTTACCACAACTTAAAAATATTAAATACATTAATTTTAAAAATATGGTGTGGATATAGATGTTGGAGTAGATTTCTCTATTCTTACAATAATGGTTATTGCATCTTGGACAATTCTGGGTTAGACCTGAAGAAAAGAAGTTCATCTTCTGCATGTGTAAGAGCTTCTCTGCAGTGGTACAGAATTTGATATACACAGGCCTTTTTCCCACCCTGTAAGACTTCGTTAAAGTATTACATACAAGGCCAAGAATGGTGGAGAGGGTGTGCTTATAAGGCAGAACCCTGTAGTTTACACAGTGTGGGATTCGCAGCCCTAAAGCCCTAGGTTCAATAATAACAACAAATAATAATGATTATAATAACAGCAGCTGTATTCTTTGAGCATTTCCTGTGTACCAGGCTCCATGCTAAGCACTTTGTTCTATCATCGACTCCCTACAGCAACCCTGTGAATAGGTGGCATTGTTATCACCATTTTAGAGCTGAGAAGACTAAGGTTCAGATTGCTTAAAGAACTTCCACAAGGTCACACAACTTGAAGGTGTATGATTTGAACTTCAGGTCTTTGAGGCTTCAGAGCCTGTTCACCCACCTTCTCATACCGCCTCTCACTTCAGGTCTGGTTATGCTACTTAGAAAAATCATGCATCTGGGTGGATCGGCCTTCCCAGCCCTTGTTTCCATTTTTTTTTTTTTTTTAAAGATTTTATTTATTTATTCATGAGAGACGGGGAGAGAGAGAGAGAGAGAGAGAGAAAGAGAAGCAGAGGGAGAAGCAGGCTCCCAAGGAGCAGGGAGCCCGATGCGGGACTTGATCCCAGGACCCTGGGATCATGACCTGAGCCGAAGGCAGACGCCCAACCATCTGAGCCACCCAGGCGCCCAGCCCTTGTTTCCTTATTGGTAAAGTAGACCTGGCCCCACCTTAGAGCCCAGGGGTAGTTGTGACCAGCGAGGGAGAGAGTGCTGCTTCCACCTTACTAAACTAAATGAAAATTGGTTATTACTAATATAACGTATACTAAAATGACCTGCCAGCAGCTCTGGTATACCATTCTTTACACATTTAACAGATATTTTTTTGGTTTGTGTTTTTCAGCAACTCCACTCAAGCGTGAGGACGGGGAATCTCGAAACCTGTTTGAGGCTGTTATCTTTAGGAGCACAAGCCAACTTCTTTCACCCTGTGAGGAAAGCATGAATTGATTCAGATATTAAATTGAAACTAAGTGGGGTGTGTTTGTGTAGCCTTTAGTTTTAATTTGCTTGTTTGTCTACTTTTTATTAATATTTCTCAGGAAAAAGGAAACACCCCACTCCACGTTGCCTCCAAAGCAGGTCAGATTTTACAGGCGGAATTATTGGCAGTATATGGAGCAGACCCAGGCACACAGGATTCTAGTGGAAAAACTCCTGTGGATTATGCGAGGTGAGAGACCTAGATTCTTGTCACTGCCTTGGTTAGGGATTATTTATGCTGGGTATGATTCATTGTTAGGTCGCTAAATTGTGTATGATTAACATTTAATCCCTTTAAGTTAAGGATTTACCATCCTATCATTTTGCAGATGAAGACATTTCAAATCCGTATGAGCTCAGAGCCTGGCAAAGTCAGAGGAGGCAGAACCTTAACGAGTGTGTTTAGCTTCCAGTCTTTCATATGACTTCTAAAGCAATGGCATTTGAGCCATAGGCAGAGTCCAAAGCAAGTATCAAGAATTGCAAAACCCACTTCTCAGTTTCTTAATACGTTTAGTCATTGCTTGAACTTACAAACAGATCTGTACAGATAGGTAGGCAATCAAACAAGTAATAGTAAAATGTTAATTGTTAGGTTTTAGGCAGCAGACGTTTGAGTGCTTGCCGTAAAATCCTTTTAAGTTTCTTCTTGGTTTAAAAACTTTGTGAAATGCTGGAAAAATAAATCCATGAGTTAGTCTTGAATATCATTTAAACGTTAGAAGATGGTTCATCTTTCCTTCTTTTTCCAGATTAACTTTTTATCAACTGCAAAGCACTCTATTCTGCAGAGGATAAAATGGTTGAAATGCCAAAACTGTGCCATCCCAGAATTTCTTCTCTTATGGAGGAGATGATTCATACATGCATGAAAGAGTTAAATGAGGCAAGATAATGTGGAATTCATTGCCAAAAAGGATAACTGGTCTTAAAAGGCATTTGTAAGGTTTCTTCTTTGTGGCCTAAGTCAGTAAGAAACTTCTTTAGTTGATCTTTGAAAAATGGGTTGGATTTGGGTATGTGAAGGAGGAGCTAAGGCATTCTAAGTGAAAAAGAAAGGCATGATTTAAGTTCAGGAAGGAAAGATGGACAGGGCATATTCAGCACAGCAGAGGACTTTACTGGATAGAGCAGAGTGTATCTGGGAATAATAAGATCTTGAGGTATTGAGGAATATAGTATTTCCTGGATCTGAGACTCCACTGACGGTACAGGTCATCACGTTATCTCATATACCACTAAAAATGAGAACAACTAGGCCGATTTAATGATGATGGACCATCAATTGTAGCATATTTCCTGATTTCACAGCTGTTAAAAAAATGAAAAAAGATACGTATCTCAGAAATCAAATATGTGGTAGGTCAGTGGAATATCTTGTAGTGTCTTGAATGGTGGGAAGAGAAAGTGGCAGAAAATAGACTTCAGCTTTTAAGGGGAAGAGAGCCCTCAGTACATGGTACTTATCACTTACCTTGGAGTTTCCTCATGTATACCTTGTGTATATTATAGACTCTCAATGTGATAATTTATTTATATCCCTGGTTACTAAAAAGATTTAAAGCAGCTTAACTATTTACTTCATTAATGAGGAAAGGCAAACCTCATGTTTTCTGTTACATAAATTGAAGTTTAAGGAGGTGAAAGTAGCTACAAGTATGAGGTGTGCATTCTGTTGGTCTGTCTCTCCCTGAATTACAGACCTTGAAGTGGTTACTAAACTGTCATCCAGAATCGTACTGGCTGTATCAGGAGCCTCTAGGGGAAAGACCTTCTTCAAAATATTGATGTTCACACTCATCCCATCCTTACTGATTCAGAATTCCCAAGGTTGGAGCCTGGATATCTACGTGTTTTTTAAAGCACTTTAGTTAGTTTTTGAGAACCTCTGCTCTAGACCATTTATTAGTTTTATTTCCTACGTCATTAGATGAAGTTATTCTTTATTTCTCCCATAAGTCCTTCATTCCCTTATTAAGTATTCTGTTCTGTAAATTAATAAAGGAAGGGGGTAGTTCAGATTGTGAAAACAGTTTATAAAGGTGGGAATCAAAGTAGACCATGACAGTTTACCTCACACAAAAGGTTGATTATTCTAAGAAGTCACATTTGGTAAATTGCTCAGGTGTCTTGGAAGCCATCTCTGTACTTTTTTATTCTAGAGCCAGTGACTGGGGAGGAATATAAATGGTACTTTGTTTTCTCTTGGTAGGCAAGGAGGGCACCATGAGCTGGCAGAGCGCCTTGTAGAAATACAGTATGAGCTGACTGACAGACTAGCCTTCTATCTCTGTGGCAGGAAACCAGGTAAGTGAAAGGGTAGCAGTCTCTCTGCACCTTCAGTCAGCCTCTCGAAAAACAAGTTGGAACACTGTTACCCAAGATCTCTACTTTAACATATCCTTAAGAAAATTGCAAATAAGGATTTTTATTTGAAATAACTGTAGCATTTTCAGTTATATGTGAAAGGTATAAGGTCAGTCAAAACTCCTTGAATTTTAGTTTTTAAGACTTTAGCTCCAGAGGAGTAACTATTTCAAGAATCAAAGAGCATAACTGAACCAAAATTGAACGTGCACCATAGTTCTTATGCATAATGGGACTAGGAGTGGAAGAGCAGAGCAATAACTTACGTAGTTATTTGAAGAATTCTTCTATCTAAGGAATGGAAAAGAGTCCAAAAATGAACTTTGACATTAGCCAAGTTTATTTATGAAGAACTGGGGTCAGCAAACCATGGTCTGTGGGCCAAATCTAGCCTGTCACCTGTTTGTTTAAAGTTTTGTTGCAAGATAGCCATGCCCATTTGTTTACATATTGTTTGGCTGCTTTCATACTACTAGAGCGGAACTGGCTAACTTAGTAGTGCATGTGACTCAATCTTGGGGTCATGAGTTTGAGCCCCACATTGGGTACAGAGATTACAGAAAGAGAGAGAGAGAGAAGGAAAGGAAAGAGTAGGTTGAGGGGCGCCTGTGTGGCTCAGTCGTTAAGCGTCTGCCTTCGGCTCAGGTCATGATCGAGCCCCGCGTTGGGCTCCCTGCTCTTTGGGAAGCCTGCCTCTCCTTCTGCCACTCCCCCTGCTTGTGTTCCCTCTCGCTGTGTCTCTCTCTGTCAAATGAATAAACAAAATCTTTAAAAAAAAAAAAAAAAAGGTTGAGTAGTTGCAACAAAGACTATATGGCTACAAAGCAAAAAATATTTACTGTCTGGCCCTTTACAGAAGGTTTACCAATCCCTAATTAAAATATCCACATACACCCATACAGTGGTTCCCTAACCCGGTTGTATGATGGAGTTAAGAGCCTCTGGTGTGATTCCAGTTCCCTGTGAGATGGGATAAGCACATCCCACCCTTTGTTTCCTACTAAATAAAATGAAAAACCCTGGACCAAAAGCATGGAGTAGCTATCTAAGGACTCTGCCTGGTGGATTAGGGAACTCAAAGTACCATCAAGCTGGTGGTGAGTGTCCTGTTTATTTTACTTCTGATACAGCCTTCGTGACAGCCTGAAATCTGGAACTACATAGCAGGTGCAAAGAAGCCTTCTCTCTCTGGTCTATGGAGCAGTAAATGGGATCCTACAGACAGAGAATTGGGGGATTCCCCTGGGGGTTTTTTTCCTCTTCCTTCCTTTTCCCCCACCCTAGCCCCTAGGCAATCCTGTGGCTGCAGCAGTGGCAGCACAGCTGCCTGGATCTCTGACCAAAGCGTGAGGAGAATCCTGATTGCTTTTATTTATCTATTCCCTCACCACTTGGCCCAGGAGGCAGAGCCTAACCTGGTCAGTTGCCTGCTAAAAGAAAAATATTAACATCCTCCATAGAATTTAAAGAAGACTTAGCATCTCACAACATAATATTCAGAATGTCCGGGATATCAACTATAATTACTTGACAGAAGAAGAACCAGGAAAATCCCAAAGACTTGCAGGGGAACAGGTAGTCAACAAATGCCAACCCCAGATGACACAGATGTTGGAATTATCAGACAAAGACTAAAACAGATAGTAACATCATGCTTTGAGAAGTAAGTGTGAATGTTCTTGAAGCAAATAGAAATATAGAAGGTCTCAGCAGAGAAACAGACCCAAAAAGAAATGCTGAACTGAAAAATACAATAACTAAAATTTTAAAACTCACTGGATGGGCTTAATAGCAGATTGGAGATGACAAAGAAAAGAGTGAATTTAAATAAATCACTAGAAATTATCCAGTTTGAGCAACAGAGAGAAGAAAGAGTAGGAGGAAAAAGAAACTGAACACAGAGCCCAGGGACCTATGGGACAATATCAGAAGGTCATGTTTGTATCCTCAGACTCCCAGAAAGAGATCAGAAAGCTTGGTGCAGAAAAAATACT